TCCAATGGGATGAATTTGTTGCGGCAATTAATTCAAGGAGGGACTCTGCCCCTGGTTTAGATAACATTCCATATATCATGATTAAAAAGCTTCATAGATCTGTTCAGTCATTATTATTACAAATTTACAATTTATTATGGGAAAAACAACTTATTCCAAACTCATGGAAATCTCAATGCATAATTCCAATCCTAAAACCAGACAAACCAGCAAATCATCATGACTCATATAGGCCGATTTCATTGTCTTCCTGTTTAGGAAAGCTATTTGAGCATATGATCAAAACAAGATTAGATTTTTTTGTAGAAACACATAATATCTTACCTTCAAACCAATTTGGCTTCAGACGTGGTCGAAGTGCAAATGAAAGTTTTGTTACTTTCTTGTCTGATATCAAAAAGTGTATCATAAGTCGCAATAGTGCTCCATGTGTTTTCCTGGATGTACAGGGTGCTTATGATAATGTGGACTTATACAAGCTGTCACATATTATGTCAGATCTAGGTATTCCTGGAAAATTAATAAAATGGATTTTTAATTTTGCTTATGACAGAACTGTATTTGTTAAATTCAATAATATTTTACATGGTCCTAAGAAGTCATATAAAGGTCTTATGCAAGGCGCTTGTTTATCACCGATTTTATATAACTTATATACTTCTCAATTAATGTCCAGAATTCCTAATGATATAAAGGTTCTACAATTTGCAGATGACCTGCTTTTATATTGTGTAGAAAGGAATCTCCAATCAGCTGAGGCCAAACTTAATGGAGCATTAGATAACCTACAGCATTTTTATGAAAATCAACTTAAATTGACCATAAATACATCTAAGTGTGATGTTTTAGTTTTTGGAAGTAATGATCTTGCACATATAAAATATAAAAATGGTAGAATTCAGATAACTAATAGTCACAAATTTTTGGGTGTAATTATTGATTCAAAGCTAAAATTTCAACAGCATATAAATTATGTCATTAAGAATGCTCATAGGGGCATTAACATATTGCGCTGCTTGGCCGGAGTCTCTTGGGGTGCAGATCCTAAGCTATTATCCACACTGTATAAAAGCATTGTACGCAGTCATTTTGACTACAGTTGTTTAGCTTATTTGAACTGTAATTCAACTCTGTTAAAAAAATTAGATGTTGTACAAAATATTGCATTAAGAATTATCTCTGGAGCTATGAGGTCTACTCCAGTAAATGCCATGGAAATAGAAACATGTATCCCACCTCTATCAATAAGACGGTTCCTTCTTGCACAAAAATTTTGTGTAAAAGTGTTGTTTAGCAATAATTTTGTGGTTACTAATAATTTGTTGCTTCCTCCAGCAATGGCAGATAGTGTAGAAGGTTCTATAGTCTCTGCAAATTCAATAATGCAAGGATTAACACCAGAGATGTGTACAATTTTAACTAAAATACAAAAGAAATGTGTGAATATGTATATATGTGAGGATAATATTTGGCCTTTTTATAAATGTAAATATAAGGCTTTATTACACCAGCACTCAATTAATTTGTCTAATATTAACGATAAATTTGATTACTTAGATTTAATGGCAAATAGAAAAGAATTATATAAGATTTTCACAGATGGGTCTAAAAGTGACAAATGGGTTAGAGCTGGTTTTTTTGATTCTCAAACAAAATTAACTAAAGTGTTTAATCTAAACAGTATTACATCAATTTTTACAGCTGAGGCTTATGCTATTCTACAAGCTTTAAAATATGTCAAAATTGCAAATATCTTGCAGAATATTGTAATAATTACTGACTCTCAAAGTGTACTGTTGGCTCTTTTGAATCCTAAAATAGACTTTAAGTTAAATTATATAGTTTATAATATTAAGGACTTACTATATGAGCTAAAACTTAGTGGTATGAAAGTAGAGTTCCTTTGGGTGCCTTCTCACAGAGGCATTGCAGGGAATGAGATTATAGACAGAGCTCTCTCTTCTGGTTATGATGAAGACTGTAGTAATCAAAGGCAAATACCATTCTCTGACTATTTCCAAGTTTTGAAAGATGACACCAAAAAGCTTTGGAGAGACTATTGGGATAACATCAAAGAATCCAAAGGAAGTTGGTATGCTAGTATCCAACAAATATTTCCTGTGAAACCCTGGTATAATGATAGACAATGTGACTCCAGGAAATTCATAACAATAATTAACAGACTACGCTTTGGTCACTGTTTAGTCCCAAGTCACCTTCACAGACTTAAGATAAAACCTGACAGTCGGTGTACACATTGCCAACAACAGAATGCCGATATTGACCATCTTTTCTTTTCATGCTCCGCATTTGGTATCCAGAGGCTCGTCTTTGTCAGTGAACTTCAATCAGTTTCAGAAGATATGAAACGAAGTGTTCCCCGCCACATTAAAGAAATACTATCAGAACCAAGGTTTTACTTACCAGTTTATAAGTTTGTATGTAACACCGTAGAATTATTGTAAATATATCTTTATGTGAGTAGCGTACTTTTAAGCTGATTGATTGAAATTGTTCTTCCTTTTAATTTACGTTGAAAAGTTGATATTCTTTTTAGGTTGTTTTTAAATTGACATTTGTTTGAATTCGATAACGACTAGTTTTAGTTCTTTTCTATGGATAACAAATTTCTATGAGTTTAGTAGTAAGATTGTATATATATATACATATGTTACAACTTAATTTTTAATTAATGTTAAATTTTAAATTTTTTAATTATTGTTAAATATCTTCAAGTGTTATTTACCATGTAATTTTTTTGTATGTTTACGGCTAAAGGACTGGGTTCCAAGCCAATTTATATCAATGTCAAAACATTTTTATAATGATACCCACATCAAATTCTCTAAACATGTAAATCGATCGACTTATAAGTACACAATTTATAAAAATAAGATACTCTACAATACAATATTGTTTTAATAGTAAATCGTAGGAGTAAATCATATTGTAACGACGCATGAATGGTTTTGTAAATTTTTACTTAGAATCGAACTTCAATAGAGCAGGTAAAAATTATTTGCAACTCATGGCCTACAATTCATAATTGAACAGTACAAAAATTATAAATTGTTTGAAGACCAATATGGATATTTCTAAAGAAGACAAAGGCTTGGACTTATTGTTCTCAAATGCTTTGAAACAAAACTTACCTGCTGGCACAATGGGACTAATACATGTAAAAGGGATTAGGCCTCTAAAAAATTTAAAGTAATAAACACATTTTCGACGGCGGTCGAAATCCCTACCATAAAATAATTCAGAGAAAAATTATCTTCGTGACCGGTTTCAGTCAGGATGTTGTTATCTTTAAGGTCCCGGATTCAATTCAATCGGGTCAATACAGAAAATGGTTTTTCTATATTACCACGAGTATAGGTGTTTTGGCAATTAGTTCTATTATAACTTTTACCCGCGACATTGTCCAGTGATTTTTCATGACAAAAGAGATATCATTAGAAGCGTCTTGGTTCTCCGTTGTGCTATGTGACGTTACTTTAAACTAAAAATATTATTCCATCATTCCGTATAGGATATCAAATGAAGGGACTTAATTAGCATATTTCAAGTATTATATTGTAAGTTTTATGCTCGCGATTTCGCTTAATACATCCGAAATTTAATTAATTAAATTAGTTTTTGGACTTTTTTTTTAATAATTTATATTATCAATTGTATCATTAGAATATTACAGTCATTTTTTTGTGATCATAGTATTAATTTCAACAACTCTCATGTTCTTTTCATTCAAGAGCATAAATAACAATATCGTTACAATATTATTTCTCCACTTTCGGCTGCTTAATATAAGCACAGTAAACTGTTGTCAGTTTGTACAGAAATGGCATTCTCCTCGAATTGATTTTAAGCTTTAATGCGTTCGAAATATCATTTCAAAGTGGTTAATATAGATTTCTTTTTCTGTTATATTATAGCTCCATTACGGGTCTACATAAGCTATGAGCGCCACTGGTTAGATATCAGGTTCGCTTTATTTGCTACGCGTATTTAATACTATTTAACTAACTTAATTGTTAATTTAAACTCAAGTGATTATTGTGTGTTTACACGAACCTAATCACTTGAAATTAAGTTAAATATTTATATATAAAAAATATCGCATATGATGTCACATTCATAATAGTTTATGGAATTCAAAAAGAAAGATATTGATGGACAATGAATTCATATATTATTAAACTTGCAATTTTCCCGCGACTTTATCGGTAAAATGTAGCTTACATCACCTTCCTATTATGTAATTTCCCGAAGGCGAAAGAATTTTCATGATTGGACCAGTGTATTTAAGACAATCACCCCCTACAAACAAAGAAATGAAGTTAGATACTAAACCTATTTACAATATAGTATACATATGTAGTTATTGTTATTTTTATAAATTATAATATTCGTTTGGAGATTAGTAACCTGCAGATTACTTTAATATAATCGTTGATAAGGATACGATTTTGTCCATTTCTGACTTAAAACCATTCAAATTGTTCTTTTCATAGTATAAAGATGTGTATATTCATAATAAGAAAGCACTAGAATGTACAGTGAAAAGCAAGTCCGATTATAAGAAACCGTCAACATTCTATTTGAATACTCAGTGCTTAGAAGGTAGAATACTAAATCAACCTAAGAAATAAATATTTTTCTCTCACCAACGGCGGTAGTGTAAAATATCATGCATTTTTTTTCCATAACTCATAACCAGAACATAATTACTACCTGGATTTCAATACTTTTGTTTAGACTAAAAAGGGCTCCAAGTAAACAATAGAAGAAGTTATTATCATGAAATGGGTTTTGCAGATACTATTATCAGTAGGTATTAGTAGACTTATTTGTTCTAGAACAATACGGTCAGACAGCTGGGGCTTTCCTTACCTAGTCGAGCTCAGTAGATCAGTCAAACCAATGGTTAGTTCGTCCTCAGTCGTGCTACAGTGAACACCAGTGTTACTCCGTGTGCCTTTTTCTTAATAACCAAGAAAATGTCTTTCGTACAAATGACATCTAACGCCGCCGCAATGTCACCGGGTTCTTCTTTGCTTTACCTCCATAATGAAGCCTATTTGTTCCACAAATCGGTGTGGAGCGGCTGGATTGACGGTTATTTGGGCAAAGAAAATTGTTACACTGATTCGGATGTATCTAACAAAAGTCGTGAAGATTTGATCATGTACATTGACCATTTCATGCAGGAATGTTATTTACACCCCTATCAGGTAACGTTGCTAGCTCAAATCCTGTCTCCAGCGGCTGTGGAAAGAATGTGCCGGCAAATCTTCTCCGTTAAAAGTTTGAGAACAGAATTCGTGGAGGCTTTCTATACTGTATTTATACCGAATTATATAAAAAGATTTTACTCGTGGTCGATCATAGACTTGTTGAAGAGAGCAAACGTGGCGTATCCTGGACCTTTCAAGAAGCTAGTACAGAATCTGATGCAAAACACTGAAGTGCACGAGGACATCTTAAAGGATTACGTCATCAATATAAGCGCTAAGGACAAGAACAACGTAATGACTTCTGTAGCCGGCCTAAGATTGACAGCTCATCAGTTCATGCGCCAATTGAAGACAATCAACATATTATTTAAGGGAAGTGATAAATCTACCGTTATATGCGAATTTGTCGTTGAACACCTTCAGGAATATTCGTGTTTCTGTTATAAGAATAAAGATTTCGGGCGCTTATTACTGACGTACCTGCAAAACTTCTCTTGTTACCCTATCGACCACGAGACCGTCAGAAAGATGATCGATGGTCACTGTACAGAATTCAAAAGTCCGTGCCAGACAATATTTTGGGATATCTACCATGAACTTCAGCGGCTTCAATATCAGTTAATGGGAGGACCCAGATTTTATGTAGATAGGCCTGAAAAAGAAGTTTCTACGTTTAATTTATAAGTTATTTATTATTGATTTGTTCAACTGTAATATTTAGTACCTTTTCACATAGTTTTTAGTTATTTTTTTTTTTTATTATTTACTTTATATTTGTACCGTTTCCACATGTAACATATGTTCTAAGAAATATAAATATATGTCTCCTGTATTCTAATGTATTATTATACGTATAATAAGTTAACTGCTGCTGTTTTACTGTTTACAAAATTAATAACCCATTTTAGGATTAAATTTATTCAATCTTTAGGCAGCAAAATTTCATTTTTTCATTATGTAATATTAATATTAAAAACCAAACGCATAATTTGTCTGAACTTATAGTTGCTCTAACGCTCCTGTCTATAGTAAAATAACACCTGGTTTCTGAATTGAGAATGTAAAGTTAAGCACAACTCAAACAGTTCTTAAACCACCTTATACTTCACTTAAACAGGTTTCCGTTTCTGCTTTTATTTTGTGTATTGACTTAAGTTTTTTAAGTTTCACATGACAAAAAACAAGTTATTAAGAATAGTCGGTTGAGATTTTGTACTTTTCTCAATCCAGAAATTAATTACTTAATTAATTACTTAATTTCTGGATTAACTATCAGTAATAACAAGCAATTAAATAATTATTCAATAAACAAGAATTCGAATGAATTAGAAACTGTCGAAAGCTGGAATACACATGCGAGTGTAAGTTAAATAATACCTCATGCAGCATTATATACATTTAAAAATGTCTTATGCCAAGTTCAGAAATATGATATGACTAAGATATTTATCATGAAAAATGTATTTGGACAATATGTTTGCATGATTATTTTAACGTAAATATTTCTAATGCTAGAGATAAGCCTCAGATAATTTTTCTTTATTATTTGTTAGTCCATATTCATTTATATGACTTTTTTCTCTTTATTTTGGCACAAACAGTCATTAAGGAAAAAAGTGCTTAAATATAGATAGTGCTTATATTATAAGCAATACAGTGTCGAAAACGATATATAATAATTAACAATCTTTAAAACAGTAAGAAACTTTTTTACAATTTTTTACATGCAATTATGAACACTTCATATTATGCTGCCTATTTTTTTTCCAACATTATTCGTTTTAAGCCTATTAAAGAAATGTTAAAAATATTAAAGAAGTGTTATCCGATGTCAATATTATTTGAAATTATAATATGTATATTTTAATGTAAAAGTAAAATATAGATGAATAATTAATGAATTAAAAACTTCAAAAAATAGAATTCATTAGTTTATGAATTCACAAAAGATATTAAGACGAAACGTCTATCACACAAATGTCTTATAAACTGAACTATTGATAATTCAGTGAGGAAAAGCTGGATTGAAGGTGATTTAGGCAAAGTCAACTATTACACTGACCGTGATCTGTCTAACAATAGACACGAAGAAACAATTAAATAGACCATTTAATGACAGAACGCTATATATCATGTTAATGGTACTGGTCCATGTCTGTAGCAGCAATGGAAAATACCACATGATGTCACTGACTGACCTTAACGACGGAGATAGCTGGAAAGAGAGACGAAAGCAAAATTGCCTCCCAATGAACCGAGCGTCATCATAAGACACCCGAGGACCGCGGGCCAACTATTATAGGTTGAAGTTTGTATATATTTTGAGTTTCTATCAATTCTTTGTAAGCGCGATGCAGGTGGTCTTTGAATATTCTTGTGAGCCTTGCTGTAGTGGTACACTGCCATCTTGTAACCGAATGTTGAAGCTATGATGTTCGTTTTTTTAAGTAGTTCTAGTTTGCTTATATTTTTATTTTGTTTAATTTGTAATATTTATTATGTCAAAATTAGAAGTAGATATTTATTGTTGTTAAAAAGATGTGATTTATTATTATTTATTCGTTTTACTTAAATTATTTAAAAGTATAGTTATAGTATTTAATAATTATAAATGTCAAAGTCATTCAACTAAGTATTAAATTTTTATATATTTGAGTTCGCCGCGAACATGATTCGAATTTAATCTATCTTTTTATATTTATTGTATTGATATCTAATTTTCGAACTTTTCATATTTCAGTTTTGTAATATGTTAGTTAAAAGGAACGGAAATGACTGTCTTTGGTCCATTCGTTTTCTGCAAAAATCAACTTTTGCTAGAGTCGCCATCTAAGGAGGTGCTTCTTTAGTGCTTTCTTTTTTTTTTTTAATTGAAAAAATGTAATAAGGATGACGACTTATTTATAATTGTTTGTCCGTCGCGTTGATTGTTGAAAAATATTAAACACATATTTTTTTCGTAATCATTGAATTAGGGCGATACATTGAGTTAAAATGTCACTTGACGTCACGTTTTTGTACATTTTCTACTAAGCTGTGACGAAGACGTCTTTTTTTTTAGCAAGTCGTCATCCTCGTTCATTGTCTGTAATAAAGGTATTTCATAATCGATAGATTACATTATTTTACGTCTAGCAATTTTTAAGAACTGTCATTTTTAACATTAAAAGTAAATGATGACAGTTCTATTTTGTAAACAAAATTTGCGTGTGCTCGTTTTAGAGAACTACTGATTATGTCTGAAATTTGGAACTTTTCTCCTTCATTACAATTTGAAGTAGAACTGTGTTTAAGTACTGTTTCCAATAATGAAAACAACAAGTGGTTAAAAGCATTCGGACATTGTAAATTTAACCTGGTTCATCCACCTCGTCCTGCCGAACATAACAATAGTGAAATTGAAGGGAGAAATGCTTCCACAATTATCGTTAGCGCCGAAAAAGACCATGCAGTAGTTGACAATGCGAAAACCACAATTACAGATAATGAAACTATAGAAAAAATTTGCGAGTGCTTACATACAGACTTATCTTCACGTTACAATTTTATGATCGAGGAATGTTTAAAAAACCCTAATTTGCTAGTTAAACTTGCGTGTCATTTGAACATTAATACAGTAGAGAAGATATGCAAGTTCGTTTTCGAAAGCAACAATGTCAATAAAGACTTTTTGGTACTATTTTTCAAAGTCTTCTTACCTGCATATATAAAAAGAGGTTATAGTTGTCATACGTTAGATTTATTACTCTGTGGTAGTAAGTTTTCATTGGAGTTTGATATTTTTATTAGGAAAATTTTAAAAGATTGCAATATACCTAATAATTTTCTTCAAGATTATGTTAAAATGTTAAATGGTGAACAGCAGTCTAGATATTTGTTATTGTTGGCTAACTTAGACCTGTCCTCAGAACAGTTTGTACATAATTTATTTTCAATATATTTAGCATATAAAGATTGTGTGAAAAGTGATAAAATTCAATGTTTAATTCAATCACTACTTTATGAATATTCAAATAATTGTATTAGTGATAAGAATTATGGCAGATTATTGTTAAGTTTCTTGCAAACAGTTAAAAGTTGTAAAGGAAATTTTAATCGGGAATATGTTGAGAAAATTATAACTTTACATAGGTCGCCTTTTAAAAGACCGTGTTTGACTATTTTCAATGAACTCTTGAATTATGAGCAATTGCATACTGATTAAATTTTAATAATAAAAAATATTGTAAGCTCAAAGATCTTTGTTTCATTTTTTTATTTGTCTTTATCAGTTGGTTAAACTTTCAATGAAAATGTGTTAGTACACAACTGTTAATTTGGATTTTATCACATCATAACAGCATGTTGTCATAAAAAAATGAGAATATTCAATTGGAATATGTACTGAGAGCTACCAATACATAATGCGAGAGCATATCCTGGGGGTGTTCATGGGGTCATAATCACCCCATGGGTCCAGGGACTATTAATTAAAATTGTTTTATGTTCTTATAAATTTTTTGTCCTAATGCAGATTTTTATTAAAATACTTTCAAAATTTAATTAATTTATAAAACTTTGTATCTATTATTATCAAAATTAACTTCTTATGACTTTACCACCACTATGTGACCCCCACCCTCTTGCCAAAGCTGGATCTGCTCAATTCTATTTTCTGATGCCCAAAGTACACATTGGATGTCAGTTTCAATATTTAATGAATGAATGGACAAAATCAAACATATGGATACAATAAATTGAACTGTAAAATGGCAGCCTTATAACTAAAAAGTAATTTCTAGGCAACTTTGCTCTAATACCAAAATTACTGTATGTTAGAAGATATATTCCTGGTGCTACTGGACTGACGTTACCCCAGCAGCCCCACATTATTTATATAATATTCACTTTAACCATTTATCACAGTTAATTCCCAGACTGATAAATATGAGGTTAAATGATGAGCTAGTCTTTTATTTACTATAAAAAAATAAAAATAAATACATAATTCTATCTATGATATTATGGGACTAACGTTAGGCTAGCAGCACCACCAAGACTCGTTTATCTTCGAAAAAATGTAACTTGACTTTTTGTCACTTTATCGTATTAAAAAGAAGAACACAAGATATAAAAGGGACTTGACGAGTCAAGAATTCATTTTAAAATTCAATAGATTTTATAACTAGCGAAATTCAAAAATTAATTTTGAGTCTTTTATTTCTGTGGTACAGCTAGCGTTATAATTATCTTGGCATCACTTTTGTACTTAACACATTTCATTGGCGTATATCGCGACGTACCGTGAAGCGACCTATTACGCTGTAGCCGGTAACACACGTCGCGTTATTGAACCTTAAAATTTTGTACGGATTGTACATCGGCCGTTTCGTATTCTGTGGTCTACATTTATCTTTGTAACTGGCACAGGTAACATTATAATCAATAAAAATAATATTCTCTTTATGTATGTATTTATTGCTAGTACTAGAGACGCAATGAACATTTGACAGATGGGCGTAGCCTACGAGTCGCCATTTTGTTTTGGTTTTGCTCTCGCTAGTTGGTAATTCATGTAAGACCAAGATTTTGGCTTAGCAATTAACGTATTAGGTACTCCACATCATTTTGATCGCATTGGGAGCTTTGTTGATAACGCCGCTAACTGTACCGGTATAAATCTGTATTAGTAGTGTATTAGCTGTAATTAAATGAAACACAACATATCCAAACTGCACACGATTTATTCTGTCGAAAAACAGTGTATTTTAAAACCGAAAATGGTACGTTATAACAGTCAAAAAATTAATCAACAGTTATTGTAGGTACCACAGTTTCAGTACAGATTCACTATACTATTAAAACATCTTTTTAATAATGTAGAAAACCATACTATTTTATAATTTCATTTAATAGTATTTATAAAAATATCAGGAATAAAATTATAATCGTTTATTATTGTTTAAATGAAAATAATGCACCGTATCCAAGTTGAATCACAATTTAAATATATTTAAAAATTCATTTATAATAATAAAACCACAACTCTAGTTTTTGAATTAAAACCGTTACTGAAACTGTAATACTACACGATATGAACACGAATTTATGCATCACAGACAATAATCGAATGGCCGATTGGTATGGCGACTTTAAAAAACTTAAGAAACAAAGTCAAGTAGATAATTTAAACAGCATATTTTTCAAAAGTACGTAGTCTTTGTCAAGATAATTCATCGTCAGATATGAAACAGTAGTAATAATAAAAACTAAGTTTTGGCTTAAAGGACATTGAATCCAAACCAATAATATTAAAAAAGAAGCGTTAAAAAATAAGTAAAAGCAGCGAATTAAAAGCAGACTCATTAGGTTCTTTTAGTGTCATATTAGTTGTGCACGGATAAATTAAAAAATAATTATAAATACGGTTAGTAAATAGTTCAGTTTCATTAAGTCGCCAAACCATACATTAAAAACTATTTTCAACAATTATCTTTTGTAATAACAGTAGATTCAATCACAGTATTTTTTAAGCCTAGGAAGTACCCTTTGTGCGCGATACATACTTTTGTTTTTTTTTTATAATTATATAAAGATGTTTTAATATGAAAAAAGAACCAAAAGCTTGTCTTAGCGAAACACAGTTTTTGATAGGACAACGGTGTTTTGAACAATATTTTTTAATTCTCTATTCAACAAGTACAAAAATGGGATTGTTGGAATTGTGTTAAGTGATTCCAATTTCTATGCCAAAATAGGATTTTTATTTACTTATTAAACACATACATACAATCATACATAAACATACACACACACACACACATATAAATATATGGTGTGTTATGTTTAATGCATTTTATTGATTTTAATTAACTTACAATATGGATGACTTTTTATTACAAAAGATTACGATTATCATTACTTTTTTTTGTATTTTTTTTTGTCATCCACATAGAGTAATAAAATAAAAATTAATTTTATAATAATATTTAAGCTTTGTAGTTTTGAGTAACAAAACATTGAATATTTATTTACCGCTAGGAAAATGTCATATTCCTAACGTTAAATAAGATAAATTTGATATTATTACGAAATAAAACTAACTCTAGCTTTAGATAATACCTACATTTATCAGAGTACAAGCATATACTACACTTATTATTATTTATTACTTAATTAGAGTATTAAATTACATTACAATTTGAAATGGAATGTTTAGATATTTCAGTCCTATTTAATTTTCCATTTAAAACATTTGTAAATTTAGTCTAAACTGGTCTTAGTTATTGTGATATAGTTTATCGTATTTTTATTTAAGTTAAGTAATGTGCTTTTTATATAAATATATCGTTTGAATTTAGTGAACATTTTATTTAGTATTCATTGCAAACAATATATGTATTAACATTGTCACTGGTTCGGGAATTTCATTACGCACCTTCCTCAATATGAGTTTTGTCGTAATCACTTGACTGACAAACCCAAAGTCCTGAGTTTTTAAGGGTAGGTGGAAATCAGACGGAAGATTCGTCAAGGGTCTTACAAAAATAAGCTTTGTTGCGCGACGTATCACCCGTCGTGTGTACAAGGTTGAATGTTATGACATATATGTCATATATTTGTCAATTCTGACTTTCAGCAGCCGACGACACGAGACGCGACGTATCTTCCGTCAGATATGCATCGACTCGAAGACAATTACTGAATTGAGAAAAGTATGTAGATAAGTACTTTGATTTCGGTCAGAAACAGGCGTGCTAAGTATGTTTCAAAATTATGATATGGATTATTATATTTGATTAATTTTGCACTCACAATGCTATTCTGGAAAATATTCTTAATGAAAAATACTTAAAAAATTCACTTTGTCCCTGTCCTATTTCAGAGTGTCAGGGATATTTTTCATAAAGAATATTATGATATGGATTTTAACATAAACCTTTTTATAATAATCCAAAGCTCAGTTTTGTTTATTGAATAATTTTGAAATTAATTATTGCCTTAATTTTGTAGTCAGACGATAAATCTAATTAATGGATACACATATATTGGATGACACATATTTTGGTAATGTCTATATGGTAATAAACGATTAAATTTTGATTTGATTTATATACATTATTGGTTAAAAATAATGCCTAGAAATCTAATAAATTTTGTGAATTTGGAGGCTATTATTGGTTCAAAATAATTATTAAATTAAACTCAAGTTTTTTTATAGAAATTAAAACGAAACTACTATTATGCCCATCAATCCGAAAAAGAAAACTTATACTATTCTGGAAATCCAAAACTGAATCCAGAAAGATGTAACAACAGTTTAGTCTATATTACCTGGATTCCCATAACTTAAACTAGAATCAATACCACATACTTTCTTATACATTACGTTACACTTTTAATCTTAACAAACTAATTTATAGGCGGCTGTATTATCCGAAAATGAAGAAGGTATGTCAGAAGAGTTTTAAAGCTAACATTTTATTATATTTGGCATTATTCTGATTTGCTAAGTATCAACGCAATATTTTAAAACAGTTTTGAGATCATAAATATTTCATTTCATTGACATACCTTCTATGAATCACTAACCAACTTTTTGAAATGGCTTTTAGTATCAGTCTTTTGAGTTGAGATTGTTTCTATATGCTTCTGAGATCACGATTATTGTATTCAAACTGAATTACTTAAATCGTTACTTATTCTAGGTTTACATTTTTAGTTACTTATACACAGAGTAAAGAAATTTTACTACATTTAAAAGCAAAAACACTATAGTAAAGTGAATAAAAACAATTTAGTGATATTTGCAAGATTGTACTAAATCGATTGACGTAAGAACTATTAAAATTGGCCAACGCGTTTAGTCTCTCGAGTGCCACAAAGGAACTAACATACATAGGCTGAAAATGTAACAAATACAATAAGACGGGTTCGAAATTTAACAACGGTTATTAAGTCTAAAGTTATTATTACTACTATGTCTAGAGGTAAAAGCAAAATTAATTTGCCAATACGATAACACCCTGTATACAAAAAAATTAAACCCATTTCTTATCAATAAAATGTTCGAAATGGAAGGCACGAGGTCAAATTTAATGAATCTATTACAACTTTATCTATTGATCGAAAGTTTGAATAGTATACAAACATCATAAAAAATACTTAACAATATAAAAAGTATAGAAAAATATGAAATGGACAGTAAGCCTGAATGAACACAGTGGTATTAGATACTAAAGTAATGTTACGGCACATAATCGGCAGTTTTTTAGTCTGTGAGCACCATTTTGTTGTGTGACCTTTGAAGTTTTTATATATTTAGAATGAATTACTGCAACTTTATACGCCTATATTTTTTACTAAATCTTCTACTTCATGCACCCGATTACACTCTTGACGAACCTTTATTAAATCTAAATAACTATTGGCCTGCCAAATTTTAACTCTATCTGTCCAGCATTCATAGATCAGAATTAAGAATTTAAAGATTTGTGTAAGTAAGTAGATGAGATCGGGTATTGCAAGTGGCCCATAAACATATGGGTTCATTGTTATGGTTTCGTAACAATCAACACATGAGAAAACAATCTGTACTATGAAGTTGAAAGAACTCATTTAAATCCTCAAATAGAAATAGTTCTTTAAGTAGTATGTTGAATGTATTACAAATAATTCGTCAAAACGTGAATAACATCTTTGGGGATTGAATCATTTCTATACAAAACGTTATTTAAGTAGGATTCCTTATGACAATCTAAATCACAACACAAATAAAATTTAGGATCCTCAAAATACAGTATGTTTAAAAGTGATAATTAAAAAAATGTATATTGTATAAAGAGCAAAAGATGGATAGACTCCGTAAAAGATGATGCGAAGTTTAAGAAAGGAGCGAATGTTGATCGTGAAGTATGAAAGAAGAAACCATATTGCGCCGATGAATGAATGAATGACTCAAATTGGGACAAGGCCAAGCATAAGATGATATGATCCTTATATTTTCAATAACACACGGTTATAGCAGACTTAATAAGATAAATATTATGCAAAATATTTCAATTTTGGTATGATATATATGGTTGAAAGGCTAATTTCTTAATCAACGCCATTTTATGAAATTATCAGGATTTTTAACGAAATAAATAGATGGTTGCTGGTAGAGAATGCCTAAAGGAATTAAGTCCGAAATTTGTACTTTGTGCAAAAAAGCTAAAATTAATGAAGATAAAAAATAATCAACTTTTTCATAAATTAGTAATTCGATGAAATTTATATGTTTGCTATGTCGCCGATTAATCTTTGCACAGTATTAATGCTCATAAGACTTAAGAATAGAAAAGCTTCTGTGGCGTTGACTCAATGAAATTGAAACCCAATTTAACAAGTATAAGTGCTAAAAAGTGATCATAAAAGTTTGAAACCAATCACAAAGAAATATTTGCTGGTTCCAAATACTAACAACTCACTTAAACGTATAATGTCTTCAAAAATATTTCTTGGATCAATTAGATTTTAATTTTTTGAACAACCTTCTAATTTTAATTCCTACTAAAAACGTTTTATGGCAAAAATGATTCAATTTAATTACTATTAGCTACAGATATGTTTTTTTAAATTTGTATTACATAATGGGGTGACTTCATATTGTTCTGCATTTCTAATAAAATAAAGATTCCTGTTATATAGCATACATGCATACATTTTAAAACTTCAAAGTGCACAGACGTGTTTCGATATCATTTTTTCCTAGCATTTTAATTGAACAAGATATGATTTGGTCACATTTTTCTATAAACGAAAAAAGAGACTGAAATACATTATTATACTTAATAAAAAAAATTAAAAATTCATAGTAAAAACCACAAGTAAAAAAGGTAAATAAAAATAGATTGCAGTCATAATAAGAGTATAAATACAGTGCGATGTCTTAATATTAGCGCATATTTATTGTACGAAAAACGCTGTTATTTCGTTGACCTTAAAAGAACCCACTTAACAATATGTAATTGGCACTTTTAAAAGAACTGCGCTAAAACTAAGATATCTACCTACTTAAATTAATGCTTGAATATTATTAATTATGTACGATATATTTATCTTTTAAATGATCCTTGCCACCGATTTTTTAGGATTTTATTTATTTATTCACTTATAAGATTACTTTTAGGTTACTCTATAATGATATAGATTGACTTTCAGTTGGTCAGAGTGGTGTTTTGTTATGTTAGAAGTAAATAATATATAATTAATGAAATAAAATAGAATATGCATTGTGAATAGTATAAAAATCAATTCAAACGCACAAGGAGTTTCATTTTCCTTGTGTTTTTCCCTTACTTTTTTTAAGATGATTAAAAAAATTGCTAAAAACATGTATTATACAGCCCATACATTTTGATAGTATAATTATTTCTCTTTTTATCCAGTAAAAATATTAAATTAATTATTTGGTTTAAAATATCAAAATGTTAACTCATATATTTTACTTTAAGGCGATGGCAAGGATCCTAAGCGTGCATACATGCCTTAGTCTAACAATTCATTCAATTTTTCTTTCCTTTCAACATGTTCTGGCTCTGCACAGTGTGCCATCAACACCGATTCACCGACAATCAAATTCTCAAAACACAAAGAACACGCATACATTGCATCGCCAAAACACACAATTTTATTATCATCTCTGTACATTTTCATTGGATTTAAAACGGTACTAGGCATAATTTCTTTTCCTGTAGAAACACACTTTTTGATATAAGCAGTTTTATATAAGAAATGAATCTTTTCGCAATGAGCCTGGCTGAGAATATGTTTTAGGAGACCGTTTTCTTCACTCTCAATAGTATTACAGGCAGGGCAGAAAAATGTGATCACGTTTTTCGATTCAAATTCTTGTTCGGATTGCTCACATTTGAGTTGAATGCTGTGAACTTGTACATAGAATGTTATTCTTTCGATTGCTGCCTTTTGTAGCAATGTACTGTACAAACTGGTGTCATGGAAGCTATTGTAGCTCACTATCAGGTCTAGAGACTCAGAGTAAGCTGACAATGTTGATGAATCAAGACTGAAATTGCCAATTGATGACGTTATTGATTGGCTCGACATTGATCCATCATTTTTGGTAGTAAGACCTGAATCAGTTTGTATAGATGGTGATCTATGTAGTCTACATCTGCAATCACATTTAGAGGTGTCTGCTTCATCATAGTCAATTGATTTTGTATAATCTGCATTAGAATCTTCAGAATCCAAATTGAATAAGTTAATCATTGCATCGCGTAAATCTGGGAAGTCAAAATGCTTATATTTCTTTTTATTACTGATTCGGAGACGTTTCTCACGTTTGCCTTTGTACAGATCCAATGTGGTGCTGCTGCTACCACTGGCTTGCTGCTTGTGTTTGGTTAATTGATTTCTTTGTAAGTACATGTTGGTGAAGTTGTCTATATAATGCTTCATAGACTGCAATTGGCTTCTTAGCTTAATTTTACTTTTATCATCTTCTTGTTCCATAATAATATTCCATGAACCAGCAGGACTAACACCACGGCTTACATCATCCATTAACATTACTTCACCCAACATTTTTGGAATTTTCGAAACATTTGTCCCAGGTAAGGGAGTTACGACCGATCGACAATTAAAAACTTTGGAAACTTCTATATGAAATTTGAATTCGGTTAACAGCTTTTTCAGAAGACAATCTAGCTTCTCCAATTTCATTTGGTAGCTCCACAGCAAGGAGATCCTTTCCTCCTCATTTCGATCCACTTCTACATCACCAAATGACTCCGGTGTAGTTGACCGCACAATTTGATTATCGGGCATGTCACTGAATACTTCTACTTTTCTACACATTTTTATCTCTTCCTTATTATCCGACTCTAAAGAAATATCTGTCTCTGATTTATCAGATAGAGACTCAATATCTAATTCCTCTTCCTCACAAATAGATGATGAATCAGATATCACATCGAATATATCAAACGAGTTATTTAAATCAATGCCTTTAAAATGGTGACTGAACAAGTCTGTGTTTTCGCTATCCAACAAAATATGTTTCGGTGTATTTTCTACGTTGTTCGAACTGTTATCTACATCACTAACAGAAGTGTTACACTTTTTTATATCTAACTTTAGCTTCTTGCTCTTTCTCTTCTCTTTTTTCGTTGGCATATCAATATTAATCGATAGAGCATCTGTGTCAGATAGAGAACATTTTTTTGCAGCAAAGTTCTTTACGGAATCTGGTAATTTTAAACTGGTTGCACACTGTTTGGATGTGGAATCAGGCTCCGTGCGTTCGAAGTCAATATTTTTAGAATCACGAGATGGTACATACGTTTTTTTATGTTCCTCATCAGGATCAATAGGCGCATCGTCTTCAGATTTCTTAAAATAATTAATGTTCGACCACATACGACGAAAAGAAAACGCCATTTTCAATAATTCAGGTTCCAGTAAATATATCAATCGGTCCAATTTGTATACGAAACTTGGAATGCTAGACAAGAAGAAAAAAGGACGTTACAATCACGTATAATATTAGCAACAAAGAAACTTAGAACACCTATCAAATTGACTATTATTACCTTAGTAAACGTTCGCTATGGTGTAACACTGCAATGTTTGAGGCCGTCACGTCATTATAAATAACATTTTTAATGGTTTTTATTTAGAATTACCTTCAAATATGAATAAAACGGGAATCACAAAGCAGACGAGGAGGATTGATTAAAGCGAATTGACAGACTATTGACAAACAGAAAACAAAGTAATAAAACAGTGTTGCTATTGGAAAAAAAGTATATTTGTCTTATTTTTATTTGATTTTAAGATGGACAAATGCCTTTGAAGTTATGCTGAAATCTGTTTTTATCTAGATATTGTATATATTTAAAAACCGTAGATATTGGAATGAGGGAGTATTTAAAAAAAATAGTTCCCGACATCAAACTAGATGTCGCTACGGCACTTCCTTGATTTCTCCATGACAACACTACCGGCTTTCTTTTATGAATAAAAGTAAATTAATTTTCAAAACTCAATAAACAACTCTTGTTATATTTGTAATTTTTCGTATTTGTATTGATATCTAAGTTTCGCACTTTACAAATTTCAGTTTATTAATATGATAGTTAAAAGGAATGGAAATGACTATATTTACTCCATTCGTTTCCTGCAAAAAACAACTTTCGCTAGAGTCGCCATCTAGGGGAGGTGCTTTATTTTTTTCTTAAAACACTTCCTCATTGTTAAATTTATTTATTTTATATATAATAAAACCATTGAGTTTTGTTTGTCTTTGTCAGGTCACGTATATTTTTTTATATAGCATGAATCAATGACTAAAGTGTTACAATACAACAACAATCACTATGTAATTTGAAAAATTACCCTGTCTGTTTGTTTTAGTCGGTATAAAGGTGTAATTGTTTTTACTTACCCTTATTACTTAACCAGTTCGATCATTCTCCTATAACGAGTTGCTGTAGTTGATTATTCTTTGATGTAAGTACCAGCTATCACAAAAGTAACCTGCACACTCTTTACATATCACAACACAATTCGGACACAGACATGTATCAAATATATAGTTACACTTTGTATAAAACACCGTTTTAAGTGTATTATGATCATTTACGAAATGTGATTAGATTAATATAAGAAAACGGAAAATATCCATGTTTAATAAGTTTTGAAAATAGTTGCTTAATTTACCTCTATTTAGTACAATACTTTAATACACCATATGGTTATAGTTTGCAAATTTTGCGAGGATCTTTACACTGTAAGGTGATTTACACGCTCACACGAATAAACGTTCAAAAGCGCATTGCAACTTTGATCGCGTAAAATATTTGAGTATGAAACTAAATACGCTTATACGTGTGCTAACTGGTACGCTTGAGAGTGCTATCATTGCGTTATATTAATATGCGGGCTACGAATCATATCGATAATTCCCCACAACAAACATTTAAATGATTCTATAATTTAGAAAATATTTGAATAAAAGGCACAAATAAATTAAGTAAAAAAATTAAGAAGGACAACTCACACTGAATTATGCAAAAAAGAATTGTGTAACAGCTCTTATAAGTTTTTAAGTAAATCCAAAAATACAACTACTGAATTTAAAAACACATGTTAGACAGGCTCGTTCCGTGAAGCTTGTTTCCTGTTAAAAGACCTTCAGTTGGCACGCTGATGACCACAAAGGAAAAAAGTCTTATTACTACTTTAAATTGACTGAGATTGAAATGGAAATACATTTTCTATGAAATTAAGCACAAACAGTCAAATATAAAGACTACTACTATTTTCAAAGCTAAATAAATGTAGTAGATAAAGTAACACTTGCATTTTGATTTCATTTAATATTAAATTTCAATATGATAGTACATTTCGAATGCGCTGTTTTTCGATATCGATATTTTTATCTTAGAAATATCGGTAACCCAATATAGCATGTTTGTATGTTGTATTTTGTTTGTATGCCTATTTGCGTGAAACGTCAAGTTAGTGTTAATGTGTTGTTTAAAATTTAATTTCGTTTCAATGTTATAAAACATACTTGATAAATTGTTTTGATATATAATAAAATAAATTATAGTAATACGTTAATATTTTCATCTGCTAATTTAAGTAAATACTCTTAAGACTTCAACATAACCTTAAGTTTTGTATTCACCGTCACCAGTAACATGAAAACTTCGATTGACGTGGACTCCTTACGGTCTGAACACGAATCTGAAGAACAATGGGAGGTGCGGAAGATGTTCATGCTCGAACACAAAGATGACTTCGAGAAAGAGGAGCTGGTGACTTTAGCACAATTATTCACAAACATCGAGTTTCTAGGATGCAGGTAGGGTTAGCAGGCATCCGCATAAAGCCTAACATAGTTATCTTTTTTAATCATAATCATTTCAAAAATCACTATATTGCATAGACTGATTTTGGATTCGATTTATGGTAAATAATCAGAAAAACTGTTTTTGCACTTACATAGTATATTAAGACACAAAATCCTCAACAATGTAGATATTTTTATCCAAATATATTGTTGAGGATTTTGTAGTTTAGCGATCTGCTGATCCTAGATGCTAATTTAATGTCAGATTTGAGTTGGTATAATCAACAAAGTTTCTTGGTATTACACTAGATTCTCGACTACAATGGGATCCTCATATTGGTAACTTGTCAAGTAGTCCGAGTTCTGCAGCATTTGCTGTTAAGATATTCAGATTTGACAAATGTTTAAACTGCAAGATTGGTATTAATATACCTATCAAAATAAATACTATAATTAGTTATTTTGATAGTGTGCCATTCTGCAGCTAGCATTCAAGAGATTTTTTTCTACAAAAGAGAGCTGTCCGCGTTGAGGGAATCTTAGAGAAATATTTAAAGATATAATAAATATTTTTACTGTTGCCGCTCAATACATTTATGAAAATATTATGTAGGCAAGAAAACTATGATTCCTTCACAAAAAAATAGTGTTCATAATCTTAACACAAGAACTAAAAATAAAAAAATACTTCTTCCGTTCCAAGCTTCAGATTTCAAAAAACCAGAGAATCATTTCTGGATAAATGCATTGCTATATTCAATAAATATTCTCAAAATGTAATTGACCTACCCATAAATAAATTTAAAATTCATGTAGAGAACACATTTATGAGTAAAGGCTATTATAAAGTTGATGATTATTTTAAGGATCGCAAATACATGGAATTAATACCTTCACTTTATTCTAACTATGTCCTGCAGACTAAAATTTGTATTCATTATTGTTATAATTTGTAACATATTATGGTAATGACATGATTTTTATTGACTATTCAAAAGTGCTTGAATCAAGCTTACTTGAATAAAGACATTTACATTTCAGTTCAATTACACTTAGACCTGTTCATGATCATTCAATGTAGCTTTCAGTTTGAGTGAAATAGACATAATACTATAATTTTACATTTATACATTGCATATTGGCAACACTGTAAATAAATAATAATGAATCATGCAACTCCCTATAATATCTCATGTATTTCAATTGTTCACAGATATCCACCACAAACTATGAAAAGGATTGCGTTACTAGCTGAAAAGGTTTCTGCTAAATATAGAGACAGTAGAAAGAATAAATTGAAGAGAACATTTGTGCAGGCCAGTGATGCTGCTGAGCAGAAAGCTAAGAGAACATTTAAAAAGTAAACAATATGAAAAGTGACAAACAATGATGCTAGCCTGTACTTAGAAAAAAAACAGGAAATAATAAAAATATGATATGGCTGTATGGATGGAAGTCCTTTGCTTACTCTGGAAGGGTAAACATATTTAAAAAACTGTCCTTTTGAATGTCTAATGGTGTATATTGAAGTCTGCCAATGGAGAAAAAAGGCGATAGAGAGTGGCATATTGTATGAATACTCATCAATCAATTTTAATTAATTACTCTAACAAAACTAACATTCCCACAAATGTCCATAAGTTTAATGAGGATTAAGGTCCTCATTAAACTTATGCTCCAATAAATGATCCAAATTTGAAAATTTGTAGTAATGTTGCTTTAAGCTAATGACAAAAATGGATGTTTGTACAACCGAGTGTTAAACTATCACAATTACTGTAAAATTTCTCAATAAAGTGGTACTTATGTATCTTTATTAAATCCTGTAAATTGTTATTTCGATAATTTCAATAAAATGCGAATTTTATAAACTATGTAGTTTATATTAACTTTCATAAAGACTTATTTTGACTTAGTACTCCATAGCCAAATTACCTTAACCCTCTACTGCATATGGAGCCCATATATGGTATTATAATTTTGTTATAATTTTATTTTTAAATTGTAGTGTAGGTACCTAGAAATATGATAAGTGTAATTGTTCTTAGAGTTAAGGTATGCAGGACGCCGCGCTGGCAGTCCGGAATAAACGATCAAACCGTACGCCTGTGTCTCATTGCCACCCGAGTTAGAATATCACATAAATAAACCATAATTTTAAATAAACGTGTTAAGGTATGTTATTCCATTAAACATCTACTTAATATTAATAAATCGCTAATAAGTGTGTTTTTAAAACGTTTCGTTTCGTTGGCAGAAAAACAGAATCGAATTGCAAATGACTTATTTTCTAAAAACGATAACAAAGCAACGCGTACGTCTTTATCAATAACTTTTCCGTTTTTTAACTATTTTTTTTTATCTAGTTGTATATTGTGTTGTGAAAATAAATTCTATTTTCTATTGTTTTCAACCAGTTTTATCTCGATTCTACATATAGTCTCGTATCCACTAACACGTATTTTTACCCGATTGCGCGACGGAAAGAAGGAAAGATTTGATTGGTAAAATTTGAATGGGCCCCGACTGTGAGTCGTTCTGTTCTGAATTAGAATTTATTATTTGTATTATGTGTGTATCGATTATAAAAGTATTTCAATTGTGTAGTTATTTTGTATTACTTAACAGAATTCTAAACTACTGGGCTTGTTTTTTTCTTTTTAGTTTTTATATAAGTTAATTTTTTCATGTATTTTTAAAAAATTGATTTTACATGACCAGATAGTGAATATCATAACATTTTAGTTTTTCTAAAATTTAATGCTATATTATTTGTTTTCCTTCTAATTTATTTTTCCTTCGGTTTGATAGAATGGACCCTTGCACTCGTTTACAATAAAAACCGTTTAACTAAGATCTATTCCGGGTGCCATCACTTGGAATAGATTTAGAAGCTTAGCAATGCTGAAGATTTAGATTCTGAAGACGTTAATCTTTTGATGCCTGTTTCATTTACGAGACCAGTTATAGTTTTCGTAAGTGATAACGAGTTTCGATGAAGTGTCCTAACTAACCTTGCTATTAAAAAAATAAAATTCTGAGTCATCGCAAAGCCCCCTCTGAGAAGATCAAATAGAAATTAAATAAGTGACAGTAAACGCTTAAAAAATAAAGTTTTTATGCAATAATGAAAAAAAAAACAAATTGCTAATTTCATGAATAACTATAATATTTTTTCTGTAATCTTTTATATTTTTATTTTATTTTTAATTCTTTGCATTACAGCATGCAATACTCATGTCTAAATATTTTTTCATGAAAAATAGAGAAAATATAAAACTTTTTGATTATTTTTGTTTCGGTATATTGGTACATAAATAAAGCTATTTGCACAGCCAAAGATTGTTTTCTTCAACGTTTCAATAATTCATGCAGGAAAGGGTGAAAAACTTTGTTATTGGTCAAATGAGTAAACTTGGCAAACTCAAATTCTCGAAACTTTAACTTCCGGTATGAATGAATGATTATATTCTTTATCTAACATAAACCAGTAAAAAATTAGTTTTCGTGTATTCAATTTAACAATCAGGGCAAACGGAGGCAGCCTTATCACTTAGACGTGATCTTGTCTAGGCAACAGAAAGGACAAACTAAATTCTAATTGAGCAGGTTATGGCATCTAAATGAAAGTTGACAGATATTTTTCATAATTTTATAATTCTATCTCGTGTGTTCATAAGATTTGAGAAAATCTTTTTAAAAATAAAATGTTACTGGCTGTTATACTTATTTCTTTTTACCGATTTTGAATTTGGAATAAAACTTCTTATTTGTATTGTATATTTATTTGTTTTTATTTTTTCGTGATGGAGGGAACGAAACAATTACATGCAACTGTCATTCCGCTATTTAAGGCGGGAAAAAACGGATGCAGATTTTCCGCGAGCTGAAAAATTTTCCTGTAAGCCGTAACTTCATCTATTACACAATACAGCGGTACAAAGGGACAAGTTCTTTGCAAAGGAGTGGTCGGCCACGCTCTGTGAAGACGCCTGCCAACATCAAAATCATCCGAAAGCGACTTGGCCGAAATCTTTTACTTTCATAGTGTAATGTCGTACGGAATCCGATTGTGGGGAAATGCTGCAGACATACAAACGAGTTTTGTGCTTCAGAAAAATGCAATTAGATCAATAATCAATTTAAGGGGAGAAATTTAAGGAAAAAGACATAATGACTTTTGCTTCTCAATACATATACGAGAACTTAATGCACGTTCGTAAAAAATAACAGTTTGTTTTCTATAAAAAGTGATGTACGTACACCATTTTAATACAAGAAAACGGTGCATGTCACTCACTAGATTGCAAAAAGTAAGTATTGTGTGGAGTTCCGTATGATAGTGTCACTCCGCTCCATTTCTGCCAACAAGGTGTCTAGGTGAAAGCCAAGAATTATCAAGAGTGACATTTTAGAGCCCGTGGTGAAACCCCTATCTGATAAGTATTTTGCAATAAGGATTGGGTTAATAATAAGCACCCAAGCTTGGTTGAGGGAGAATGTGCCGGCCTTCATCGCGGCGGACGAGTGGCCCTCCACCAGCCTTGACCTCAACCCACTGGATTATTCTTTATGGACTGAATTAGAGCTCAGGGCCTTCCAAAAGTTCCACTCAAACTTGGAGTCACTGAAGCGAACTCTTGTTCTAGAAGCAAAGCGAATTCCGCTAGAAAAAATTCGTGCCGCCATTGATGAGTGGCAAAATCGTCTAAGGGCCTGTATTAAAAACAAGAGTGGCCATTTTGAATAAAATATATATTTTATTGTTGATTACTATCTATTTAGAGGGTACTGAACATTTTAGAATTAAAAGTTATTTATTAAAAAAGTTACGCAACTTTTATGTCGTCTCAAAAATTACGAACACACGAGGTATAAATCAATCAAAATTGATTATTTTTGAAGAAAAATAATGACTTATCAAACCTGCAGTTAAAGTTCCGAGAATCACTTGAATGAATGAATTTAAATGTCAACATATTAAAGTCTAAATCAATGAAGAGGTGTTTTAAAAAAAAATAGTTCCCGAAATCAAACTAGATGTCGCTACGGTACGTTCTTGTTTCCATGACAACCCTTCCGGTTTTCTATCATGTATAAAAGTTAATTAGTTTTCACAACTCATATTCTATTTGTACTCTTTCATATTTGTATTGACATCTAAGTTTCGAACCTTACAAATTTCAGTTTTTTAATATGTTCGTTAAAAGGAACGGAAATGACTGTCTTTGGTCCATTCTTTTCCTGCAATAATCAATTTTAGCTAGAGTCGCCATCTAGTGAGGTGCTTTTTAGTGTTTTCGTTTTTTTAATACTTCCTAATTTATAGATTATAAAAATAATAATTGATACATTTTATAAATTTATCAATTATTATTTTTAATGCAATGCCTTCCTCACAAAACAATGGTGATAGATATAATACTAGCTTTTGCCAGCGGTTTCGCCCGCGTGGACCGTAGGGAAATGTTTAGTGAGATAAAAAGTCTAAGTCAGCTAATACTCTATCTGTATACCAAATTTCATCAATATCCGTTCAGTAGTTTCGGCGTGATTGACGGACAAACATCCAAACAAAGAAACTTTCACATTTATAATATTAATAATAGGATTGTACTTCAGATAGAGAGTACAATGGCACAATGCAAGAAGTCGGGATTTTATTGAGATGTGATTGTTCCTTAAGCATTACCAGAGTTGAAGGAATCAAATAGGAATAAAAACACACACTATAAAAAAACTTTTTAATAAAATAATTTGATTTACAAAATTACTTTTCTTTTTATCCACATAACGCAACAATTACATTTTTATATCTTAATTTCTAATAATTCCAAAATAGTTGACTTTTTAATATTTTAAGCTTATAATTAAGATGTTGGTTATGTTATGAATATCTTTTTTTTTACACAGCCGTAATACTAAAGTGCACAATACTAGATTTTTTAAGGGAAAATAGTTTAATTTCATATTATAATAAAATTACAAGACCATTCCTTAAAAATCATTTCAACCAAAGATCATTTTTATATAAAGAAAAAAACTTTAAGAAAAATATAGATACATCTTTCAGATGGAGATAAAAAATACGGATGTTCAATTTTTTTTATATAAAAAGCAATTCATTTTTTTTGGTTTTGAATGTGCAGTCTTTTATTATGAAACTGTTTTTTTTAAACAAGGGTGTAGACAACTTTTAATATTTTTAATTAAAAAATATATATTTAAAAGTGTTATTCATACATATAATAAGTTAAAATCTAAATTTAAATTTCAAAATTTCTAGCGATAACACACATGTAATGGCGTCACGGCACCCTGAAACTAATATCGTACTATGTATGCATAAGGTTGCATCCTATAAGTTCTGATATGACTAATGGCCGGTGTCTGAATTGAGAAAAGTTCCAAATCTCTTAATACAAAATGCTTAAAAAATCCACTTGGTCCCTGGCACCAGGGGCGAATCGTGAATTTGTGGGGCCCTGAAGCTATACTGATCAGGGACCTATTAATTACTGAAGTGAATGTAATTATGTTATCTGTTTTAAAATATAAACGTATTATATATTGTATTTATTGGGGGCCCTTTGCATCCACGGGGCCCTGAGCTTAAGCCCGTTTAGCAATAAGGTAGATCCGCCTCTGCCTGGCACCCAGTGATGGATTATGTAATAATATTTCTTTCGGCTGTTTGGGTGGATGCCTGAATATTGATGAGAATACGCTCTTTAGTAGCGAAAAGTAACAAGTGCTTGAAAGATTTGTCAGTCCTGTTAGGTCCTGGGTAGCTCAGTAGTTAGAGCAGTCGCCCGGCTTGCTAAAGGTCGTGGGTTCGAATCCCATCTCAGGGTGTCAGGGACCAAGCGGATTTTTTAAGCATTTTGTATTAAGAATATTTTTGAGTGTAGCATTGTTAATGAGAAATTTATCAAATATAATAATAACAACTGATTACCAGAGGTCGGAATTAGGTAGAGTTAATTATGTACTTGCATCGAAATGTTGATACTAATGTGGACCTTCCCGGGATTTCTTTATTTCTTCTTTCTTTATTTCTTTCTTTCATTGATGTAAGTTTGGCAACGTCGTGCGTGCAGTAGTTTAAATTGTGTAAAAGTAAATAATTTTTTATTTAAAAAATCACGGGTCTTTTTGTGCTCTTTAAAATTAATCTCGGGATTTGAGGCATATCCACTTTATTCTTTCGCTGTATGAAACCATTGTAAGTGCATGAATAACTCTACCTAATTCCGACCACTGCTGATTACTCATAATAACTTAAGTTATTTTTTGTTTCACATTGCAAAAAGTCCAACTGATCATTAAAAAAAAAAAGAAGTCAGACCAAAAGCTGTTTAAGTGACATTCAGTATTGTTTGGGATGTGTAAAACTTTGAATTGTCAACTCAGAAACCGGGTGTAAGAGTGGTGTGACGTCACGCGCTGTTTGCGGTCACGTGACAACTGGTTTAAAACATTTGTATTTAAAAAAATAAATTAGTTCCCGAAATCAAACTAGATGTCGCTACGGTACGTTCTTGATTTCTCCATGACAACCCTAGCGGTTTTCTTTCATGTATAAAAGTGGATTAGTTTTCAAAACTCAATAAACAACTCATATTCTATTTGTACTTTTTCGTATTTGTATTGATATCTAAGTTTCGAACTTACAGTTTTTTAATATTATAGTTAAAAGGAACGGAAATGACTGTCTTTGGTCCATTCGTTTCCTGCAAAATCAACTTTTGCTAGAGTCGCCATCTAGTGGAGGTGTATTTTTAGTGCTTTTGTTTTTTTTTTAAATACTTCCTCATTAATTTAAACAATATTATAAATATAATAAGCAATACTATGATTATCAGTATAAGTATACTATACGCTACCAGAAATATATATATATATATATATATATATATTTGTTTATTGTCTACACCCGTATTTTTCATATATATCTCGGTCGCCGTACAGAGAACATAGTTTGGCAGGACATAGAAAGGCTGGATACCCTACATTGAGGATTTTGTGTCACAGTATTAAAGGATACGACAAAAATATTGTATGTAAAAATCAAGCTTTTTTTTTTATTATTATCATAAATCTTGAATAAAAAAATAAAATCATGCCAAATCAGTCTTAATTATTCAGCCGGACACGTAATCAAAAAGACTATGTCCGGCTTTATCCAGACGCCTGCATGCATCTAGCCAATTTTGTCATACTAATCAAAATCAGCCCTTTTACGTCCCCACTGCAGAGGCTCATGCCTTCCTTATGCATGGTTAAGGAGGACGGGCCATGACCCTCCACGCGGGCTCAATGCGGATTTGTGGGTAACAACGACTGCAAATGTAGCCGGTACTTAAAGTGGCATCCGAAGCACGAGATATTTTTTCTCGGTCACCCATCCCGTTAC